ACTTAGAATTATAAAATGTTTACATGATTCCTGTAATAACCATTCTTAATCTCCCTGTTGTGTCCTAAAGCCAAAACTTCAGTAGCTGAATGGGGCCAGGACACCTTCCTCCTGAATGAAGTGCAAGTCCAATATGGGGGAATGAGATTCAAGTGGGATGAAGACTGTGTATTTAAAACATGTATATGTATGTGTAGGTATCCACATAAAGCTCACTAGCACTATCCATTGAACAGGGGTAGCTCAATCATAGTAAGTACATCTCATGTACAAAGCTTGGCTTCTAATCACCAATTTCATTAACAAGTGGAGGAATGGTTGATTCCAGAGCTGGGACTAAGCAAGTACAAGATGAAATTGGGGAAATCCCCTGTGCCCAGCAGTAATAACATGCTTTTAAAAAGATGGAAATATGCCAAAAGAATACAGAAGCCAACCTGAAGAGGCTTCTACTGACCTGATTTTGAATAATTTGAGATTTGGTAAAAATAGTAAATTATAATTAATCCACTGAACAGAAAATCATGAACTTGATTAGGAGCAGGATATATATATTACAGCAGGAAATACAACAGCTTTGCAGTGGAGAAGCCTGACAGACAGTACCTTAAGCAAGTGATCAAAATGAACATCATCAGGAACGAGCGGACTGTGTATACCACCTGCCAGGACGCAATGAGAACACAATCTGCAACGCTGCCAAACAAGTACAACTGGAATCTAATCATAAGGAAATAGAATATTTTATAAAATAACTTGCCTATAATCTACAAAAGTACCAGAAGTCACAAAAACTAAGGAAAAACTAAGGAACTACACGTCAGAGTAAAAGAGACTACAGACATTACAACCTAAAGCAATACATGATTCTGAACTGGATCCATATAAGGCATTACTAGGACAACTGATAAAACTTGAGTGGGGTCTGAGAGTATCAGTTGGTAGTAACATGTCAATATTAACTTCCTAATTTTGATATTATATTGTGGTTATACAGGAGAATTCCTTCATTTTGGAAATACAAAAGTACTGGAGGGTAATACGGCATTATGACAGAAATTTACTTGTAAGACCTTAAGTTTGAGATTGTTCCAAAAATTTTTCTTTAAAAAAAGCAGAATGCAGAAAACAAATCAATGGATTTTTACTGTTCTTAACAAGTTGATAAAAGAATTCAACGTGATATGTAACTCTAAGAAACCTAAGTTTAATTATGGTGAACTTTGTCTAACTCCTGTGTCCACTGTGCACATACATGTTTTTCAAAACTCTTTTGGTTTTGTGTCATTAATTCTCTTAGAATTTCACTTCATGCATGACTTTCACGATCTTACTTAAACACACACGCCCTATTTGGACAGTAAAGTGTTCACAGATGCTGTGCAGTAAAGCTATCTGAATTCTTTTCTTAAAATCAGACAAAAATATAGATTATTATAAAAATAACTTCTCCCCCTTGTGGCAAAAATTGAAAATACATCACACTGGACAATCCTAATACAGAGGCACTTAGTATTATTCCTTAAAAAGTGTTTTCAAATAATTTAAGTGAATCCCCATGTTATCTTCCAAATGATACACAGTATTTGGAAAATATTATCAAGATTTAGAGGTAGCTTCACAATTTTCTTTAGGTCAGTATTGTCTAGATTTTATTTGGATAACATTCTCTGTAGTGAAAATATGCAGATTTGATACAAGTGCCACAGCAAAAGGCTAGAGTTCAAAGGAACCAAAGTTACTCACAGTGTAAAGATTAAAATGACAGGCAGGCAAAAAGGGATGGCCTAATTCAAAGGCACCTGCCAATTTAAGATTACAGGGGCATCAGGAAGGCTTCCCACCTCTCAAAGCTTAATCTCAAAAATCTGAAAGTTCACCACTGGAGATTAATTCCTTCGAGTTAGCTCTATTCAGTCTTCTCTTAGTTTATTAATATAAAGATATGCTAAAAGGGATAAGACATTTTCTTCATTTAAGATTCCCAATGGTGAAAACAAAGAAAGTCACTAATCTGAGCTATAAATGAAATTTAACCCTCCACATTTCTTCCTATTAAGTCACCAGGTACTGATAATTCTATGTTTTACTGACCTTTCACTGTATAAAGTAATTTAAGTGGTTTTTGAAAGTAAACTTAATTCCAGTTTCAGACTTTGAAATTAAAAGTGGCTCAGTTGGATACTGTCTCTTAAACACAGTAATATAAATATTAGTATCTTGGCTAAAATGAATTATTGACAATTTTAATACATGTTGCACAGTACATATTAATATAGAAAAATACATGTTATCAGCAGCATAATGTTGACCGTGTTCTAATCCATTCCACCTGCTCAAATATTAGTGCAAATAATTATATATTTGTAATGCATCACTGCTGTCTAGCACAAATCTATGCCTTCTGAATAAATGACTTTCCTCTGAAGTTGTTTGCTATTTGAAGTATGATGTGATATATTCCTGTTTAAATTAGCTTTTTATGGTGAGGTAGACTGCAACCTTCTAAACCGTGTAGAAAATGAGCCAGTGTGTTTAATTACTTGTCTTTCCCCAACAGCTATTTAATCGCAAGAACTAAAATTTACTGGTGTCTATCAAGTAATAGTGATAAAACATAAGGACTAGTTAAAAAATATGAATTTTATTAAGTCCAGGGTTATGAGCCTGGCTGTTTCATTTCTCTAATTGAATTCCCTATTCTCTAAGTATCAAAGCTCTCTCCCATATATACCTGAAAGGTTGTTTCCTGCCTAAATTTGGAAAAAGAAATGACTGATTAGTAGTAGAAATAAAAGGTTAAGAGTTAAGGCAGTTTTTGATTAAAAAAATGACTCTCTATTGCCAACATACTAAATACTTTTTGTCTTACATTCACTGTAGCATTAGCCATTTAAAACTACCAATAAATTAAATGCTTAACAGAACTGGCAAGCTGATGACATTTAAAACAGTCTCATTCCTCATATGTTACAAAGCAGAGTTGTCATTTACTCCTATGTTACAAAATATGGTACAATACATGAACCCTTTTCTATTGTAAAAACTATTAAGTGGAAAAATTATTATAATTATATAAAATAATATCCAATAAAGAAATTTGTGATGGATAGATTTCTATTAGATAAAAACTTAATATGCAATTAAAATTTCATGACTACACTTACACAATTTTAAAAACCAAATTAAAAAAATACGGTGATACCTTGAATACAATAATAAAAAAAAAATACAATAGTAAATTAGACACTGACCCTGTATACCAACTTCATAATCTAAGTGCTGATTATGATGAGACCCAAACACGGATGAAAAGATTAAATAAAACTAAAAAGCCTATCAAACTAAAGAACCTATTTAATATTATATAACAAGAATAGTATATAAAACACTAAGAGTGAGAAAAATTTAGTTTTCAATCTGAGGCCTTTATCAGCTGTAGACCTCCACTGGTCTACTTACCTTTTTGTGCCTTAGATTTTTCACCTGTCAAATTCTAAGGTTGCTCTGGAATCAAATAATATATCTAAAAGGCTTTGTAGCACAGTATATGAGACTCAAATTTTAAAACTGTAGCTATTTTTATCCTTATTACGCAATAAATTTTTTTAGAATGCCATTTTTACTTCATGTAGAACTATTCAGTCTAAAAATATGGACTGGTCTTTTCTTCCAAAGTACCTAATATATTACAGGATAGATCTTCTTAAGCAGAGAGAGATAATATAGAAACTGAATATAGTTAAACTAGTTGGGTGAAAGCACAGAATGCTTTGTATGTCAAATTCTCCATCAGAAATCAGGAGAATTCAATATGCCCCTGGAAAACATCTCACAATTCTAAGAAATCTAGGAACAATATGTGGATAAATGTGCAGAATATTTTGACATCAAAAGAATGTTAAGCTCCCAGATGCGAGCTTTTATAGTCACCAAAAATTATGCACTAAGTGAACCCTGCTCTCTAGCCACTACCTTACACACATGACCACTTTAAGGGGTTTTATGGCATTTTAGAAACCAAAATCTCTTTACCCAGATACTTGTAAATATTTATCTTATGAAGTGAGAAAACTTAAGAAAGCAATAAATTCTCCATTTGGAATCAATCTACTGGTTGATGACTAAATTATTTCACTGTAAGCTAGAAGGCTTGTATTCAGAAAGTGAAATACAGGGCCATAACGTTCTTGGCCACTCTGTATTTAGAAGTGAAAGGGGAGACAGAATGGTCTGAAATATAATATAACTTAACCTACTTTAGCAGCTGTTTTTAAAACTATCCTAAGGACTTATAACTACAGCAATCCTCAAGACGAGACCAATAATTATCTTGAAATAGTTTGATGGTCATCTGTCTAAAGATCCAGCAAGCTGTTATTTAATAATTCTTCATAAGGATTCTTTGTTCTGGTTGACAGTCATTCTCAACATCATAATTTACAGAAGCTAAACTACCTTCTTCAGCCTGTGTTCTCTATTTCACATAATGCACTCAAGTTTTAGAAAAACAATTTGTACTGTTTCAGAGCATATTTTGGACTTTAATACATTACCTAAATATTGCATGTTAGCTCATGTGGAACTATGGAATACTGCAAAGATTCCCCTTATTTAAATGATGGTTAAAGTTAATAATATACAAAGCTCCATTTATTTCTACCTAAAATTTTACCATGTGCACATTTTACTTACTGATCATCTTTTTAAGCCATAAATTTTGGGTAAAATTTTGTGATGTCTATAAACATGAAATACTTTAAAAATAGAATACAAAGAACGCATATTCCTTCACACAACAATTTTTTTTTTCTTAGAGGAAGCCCATCTGTTTGGGCCAAACTGGTTATACAGTTAAATATTTTTCTGCTAAAAAAAGTGAGAAAATCTATTCTATGAGAAATAAAAAACCTCTTAAAATCTTAAATAAAAAAATCATTTTTAAGATTTAGAATGGATGGCCTTAAAATGTAAAAAGAGTGAAATAAAAAAACATTTGTAGGGAATTTGTTTATTGAGCATTAATTAATGTTAACACGTCTAAATTACGTATATTCACTTATGAGTTTTCTTTTTCACTGTCCTGTCAGTGGATATAATGAAAACTATTGCACAGAACTCAAGCATGGAAATAATAAACAAAACACCTAAGCAACAAGTATATGCTTTACATTTTAAAAATTAATCCAAACAAAATAATTTGAAGCACTTCTCTGATTAGGAAGTCTTAAAATCTTATCTCATGTTTTATTTGAGATTTTTTTTTTTTTTTAACAAACTGACACTGTACAAAGAGCTCAAATGGCCAGTAAAACTACTGCCTTAAAATTGTTGGCTTTAAGTAACAGAGGTATAATTTGAATTCACATCAGAGCTTCCTAAAATGGCAATAGTACAAGCATATGACTTTCTCTGATATCCAAAACCTCTTCTGGCTCTCCCTTGGCTAAAGAATAAAAAACTAGACAGCCTTCTAAAGCTGCCACAATGTCCTAAAATGCTTTGACACAAGTTGGCATACTTCATTTCCCTTGCTTACCTTGATAATACTGGGCTAAACATAAAATGAAATAAATTCAGTCAATAGTAACTTGAACAGTAGTTGGTGATGGACCTAGAAGATTTAGTAAAGTTGATTACCATTCTGAGTAAGGTTCTCAGAAGAAAAGCAGTTTTCCAAACTCAGGCCAAAAAGCCTACATTAAAGGAAAAATGCCAAGAATGAACATTAAAGTTTATCTGTTCCCAGAAACCTATGAACCATACAATGGAAGCTGAAACACTACATATAATTTAAAATGCATTCTTGCAGAACAAATTTGTAGAATGGCCTTTCTAAATTTTTACTTGATGCTTAAAATTTTATAAGTGATTTATTATGTCACCAAATTAAACCAATTTGATCAACTATATCAAAGTTATATCAAGTTATTAGGATTAACTTCAGAAATGTCTTGAAAAAGGACAATGACAAACCTACAGATATAAAAAGCAACCAGTCTTTGCAAAGCTTATCTCCAAACTTAGAATATATGATATCTACCAATTCCCAACTCCTTATAAAACAGACAACTACCTGCATGTTCAGCCATCCCAGCTTATTAAAGTTTAGCATTACGACATAAAAGAATTGCATTGTATCTAAACACTGTCAAAATTTCTCAAATGCATTTTTTAGATTATACCTCACTTTTTTTTTTTACTTCCCTTGTAACATCAAAATAATGAATATGGTCCTCCACCCTACCTTAAGTGAAATATAAAATAAGGTAGTTTTATTAATTACTTTCTAGAATTGGCTTAAAATGTACTTACCAAATGAGAAATAGTAACCTTTAAGTCTTACCCAGAAAGACGTATTATGACCCACTCCTAATATCTACATAAAACATTTCACCATTTTTGTTAAGTTTATGACATTTTTCTTAGAATAGTACTACTGTTATACCTCAGAAAAAATTCAATCAACCAACTACAGAAGTTATGCTTAACTGGTAAGCCTTTGGAAAAAGGCAAAAATTATTTAGAAAAACCTAAAATAACCTGATAAACAATTGTCAGTGCTCAATAGGGCATTAAAAATTGATGGAATAGTAAACTTGGTTTTACTGTATTGCACCTATTATGAATGCAAAACAGAATTAAATTTCCAAATGGACTATGTTAAAGAACAAGAACCAGAACACTGGTAACATTTCATTTGCCTTCTGACATCAACATTTTCCAGAATGAAAACAGTCACACATAGTTTTACAGAAATTGAAATTTATAAGTTCAAAAATGGAAGTAAAATTCAACTGAGGGGGAAAAAACCCAAAATATAGTTAGTGGTGTCCAAATGTCAAATAAAACCTCAAAGGGCGAGTATGGCTGCTGTTTTCTTCTGGTCATTTTTTCATAAAATGTTGGCTGTGTCATGAGTCTCCTGTGCTTTCTATCAACCAAGGCCTGCTGAAGTACAACACATTTCCTTTGTAAATTCAACCTCAGCTGAAGTGTCGAGCAAGGCGGGCAGATCTATAGTCAGCACGGAGTTGTACGAAGGAGTGAAGTATGTTCTTGTCCAGATTAGCAAGTTGTTCTCCTGAGCAAACTTGTTTTAAATTGTCTGGGGCAACTACCAGAAGATTGCAAAGTGCATGCAGAGTATCAAAAAGATGTAATACCATTGGAATCTGAATTGAGAGAAGCAAAAAAGTAACACTGAAACAAAATAGTTTTCAGTTTTACAATTAGTCTGTAATTTCTCACATCCTGTCAGAATTTACTAGTGTGGGAGTAATTCTATATATTAAAAAATTTTTAAAGCACCTACAGTGTTAAAACTGAAAAATTTCAGTAGTTGCATAAACCTTTATAACCTTTAAAAAAGATACTATGGCAATTTCCTTCAATAGTAGCAATCATTTATATGTCCGTAGACTAGGACTAGTTATCTATCATTAACACTTTTCTTCAATAATTTAAACCTTAAGAAAAAATGATTTCAAAGAGACATACATGAAGAAAGAATATTATTTTCCTAATGTGTGATATATACAGTATTAGCCATGATGTCAGTAAGGCCAGGACTGTGGAACTGAAACTAAAACACAAGGCAAAAGTATGTTAATATTGAAAATACAATCAGACAACACTTTTTCAGGTAAGCATGTGTTAGATATCTCTCCTACAATATCAACAAAAGTTATAAACTTTTCTCTAGTTATTATGAGTAATTACAGATTTTTAACAGTCTGACTTAAGTTCCTGAGACTATTTACAAGTTTAATATTTATATATACATACCTTGAAGTCTTTGGCACACTTCCTGTATTCAGCTACATCACAAATGGCTAACATGCCACCCATACAACTGTAGGAATATTGTTGAAGATGCTCATAAATAAGTCGATGAAAACGTACTCCAAGTTCCATTAAAACTGTATCTACATTCTTCCCATCCATGGAGTTTTTAATCTTCTCCACTTGTTTTCTTACATAAGCACAGACTTTTACACAGGCCTGTAAAAGTTTTTCTACATTTATTATATAGAAATATATATTAGCTTAATTAAAAAGAGAAAATACATAGAGGTTCCCAATCTCTCAGTATAAAAGGAAAAAACTTAGGGCACAGACACACCAATGAAAATTTAACAAAGTACTTAAAAGGCAGATATTCTTATTAGGAAACTGAATCATTTTACTCACATTAGTATACTGAATTAAAACATTGTTTTCATCTTCTGGCTTAAAATCTGTTTTCTTTTGTTCTGCAGCCAAGATATGCTTCATCTGTCCAATCATACAATTTAATGTCCTAGAGAATTAAGAACACAATATGTTTAATCCATTTACTTTCTGTATTTACTTTTATATTATTTATTAAAAATTAAATGAAAATTAATTAGTTTCATGTCACTATAGAAGTATTTTGCTATTGGTAAACTCTAGATTTTAGAAAAGGTTAAGTTCTAGGTCTTAATATCAAAGAGCTCTTGGTTTTATCGTTTTCCTGCTCAAAACAGAGGACAGACTCTTTCAGCAATATTTTATTTAAGGAAATCTTAAAAATTTTAGAAACCAGTTACCAATTTATTTCCTTAACAACTAAGGACCTTCAAAGGCCAAACAATACACAAGTTGAGCACCCTTACCCGAAATACTTGGAATTAGAAGTGTTTTGGATTTTTCACATATGTGAGATCTTTTCGGGATGAGACCCAATTTGTGCATGAAACAAAGTTTGTGTACATTCATTCACTGAAGCATCAGAAAGCAAAGGTGTCACTATCTCTAGTCAGCCACGTGAACAATCTGTGGTTGTATGGCATCACCATCATGCCTGACTCTGAACTTGCTCTCTATGCTCCTGGAGTGCAATCATGTCCTTACATTTATTTGCATGTAAGTACTTAACAGTAAAAAAAATATGACTTGCCATTAGTACAGTGAAAAAATTATGTGTTCGGGATAACTAAGCACAGTAGCAAAACCAGAATACTTATATCAGCTATTAAACAACAACAACAAATGGCAGGCTTTTGGTCTCCACGTATGATGCTGTGTTTTGACTAAGGTTATTGAACACTGCATTTTTTTTTTTTTTAGGTGAAAAGAAACATCCAAAGCAATTGAGTGGCCAGAAAGTGGGTCCTCTAGTGATGAGCAGAAATTCTGCTAGATGGCTTTTTAATGTTTCCCCCAGACACCAAATTTACCAGACTTCTATAGACATTTCTTGTCTTAGAAGTCTCTCTTTAATTTTTATAAACTGACACAATTTCTGGTTGTTATGAATTCATGCTGCCCTAGTCCTTTACTGCCACAGCATATTTTCTCCATGTCATCTACAGAAACTTTATCTGCAGGGTTGGCAATATCATTATAATTGTCACTATTATCACCTTGATTCAGAACCATTTTGGCCATTTCATTATCAGTCAAAGAATGAACAATTAGACCCTCAATACTGATGTTAAACTTCAATTTCCACTTTGTTCAGTTTACTGATGCACTCTGAGGGTACATTTTTTTCATATGTACAGAGGTCAGGGATTATTTTTTTCCTCACTTGACATACAGAATCCTTCAGTCATTACTTTACCATCATTGAACATAGTCATAGGCCAGAGGTTATACCAGGTATGCACAACTACGTCTTTAGCCACTGCATTCCAACATGTGCAACAGCTCATACAGCGTCCCTCATGCTAAACTCCTTTTGAAAACCTTCCACATCCAAACATCTGTTCACTGCTACAGACCAAGAAAGTGTTCTTATAATTGTTCTTCATTAATCTAAGAACTTCCTGGTCACACGGCTGAATGAAACTACATTTGAGGAAAAGTACAAACATTGCTTGTGATGAGAATTTCACCTGGAGATGAGAATGGTTTTCAAGGAGTAACAAATCTTGCAGCGGTCATCCAGTCCACTTTCCTTGTGGTGAGAGCAAGCCACTAGTACAAAATGTTTATGAAACCAATCAAAAAAATATCATTGATGATGCATGCAATTTTGTTAGCAAAATAATGGACTGGCAAGATATTCACTCCTTGAAAACAGTGAGGATAAAAGATTTTGCCTATTATAGCAAGTTCACACTTAAGTGTGCCTGCTGTTAGGATATCCCAGCACAGTTATTCTGTCCTTGGCATCCTTGATTCCTGTGGGAACTGTTTAATCAGCTGGAGTTATCAGCATTACAGATGTGTTCTGGCATCAGATTTTCATCGGCAATGACAGTGGCAAACTCAACAATGAATTTCTTCACTGTTTCACATCAAAAGATGTTTTTTCATGACAAATCTTTAAAAATTTAATGCCATGTCTCTTCCTGAATTTCTGTAATTAGCCTATTGAATATTCACAGTTTCCTTCAACGTTCAACTCATTGGGACAGATCTTTGTTTCATGGTGGCATGTGTTCACGGCAGAGCTGATGGATCCATTCTTTTAGTACATGACTGAGATCTTCAGTTTTAACTTTATGTAGTCTTTTTCTGTTTTTCATTAACTCTTGTTCATTACTTTCAGGGCTTCAATAGTTTTTCCTTCTGTTTCTCTAAGTCATACACGGTGGTCATTCCAACACCATGCTCTTCCATAAGATATTTCACACTGATGCTGCCACATCCAGTTTCTCCAATAGCCTGACTGTGCTACAGATAAATATAAATGCTTCCTATTTTTCTTTTTCTTTCTTTCCTTCCTTTTTTTTAAGACAGTGTCTTGCTTTGTCACCCAGGAGTACAGTGGCACAATCATAGGTCACTGTAGTCTCAAACTCTTGGGCACAAGCAATTCTCCTACCTTAGCCTCCTGAGTTGCTGGAGGTACAGGCAATACCACCATGCCCAGCTTATTTTTTAACTTTTTTTGAGAACTAGAGTCTTGCTATGCTGCCCAGGTGAGTCTTGAACTTCTGGCCTAAAGTGATCCTACTGCTTCAGCCTCCCAAAGAACTGGAATTGTAAGTGTGAGCCACCATGCCTAGGCCTCTTTTTCTTATCACTGTCATCCACAGGGCTTTTTAATATTTTGACATTTTCAACAATATCTTATTCAGAAGAGAATAAGCCAAAAAACAACAACAAAAAAGGAAACACAGTGAGGCACATAGACCTAGGCTTCATACATCATAGGGAATCTGCCGTTGGCACATCTGGCCTGCACACATGCTATTTTATTACCTTTGTGGGTGTGCTTGTGGGGGATTTTAGGCATGCACAAAAAAGCTGTATAACAGCTAAAGAGGGCTGGGGAAATTTTTCCTTTGGAGACGCTGAATAAACTATGTGTTTTAAGCCTATGCTTTGATTGTACTTGATACACAAGGTCAGTGTAGAATTTTCTACTTGCACCTTCATGTGAACACTGAAAAAATTTTGAATTTTGGACCATTTTAGACTTCAAATTTTTGTATTAGGGATGCTCAAATAGTACAGAGAATGCTTACAAAGGTGGGAGAATAATATATAACTTAAGAAGATTGGCCAACATTTAGAAAAACAGCTTGAAAATCAGGGCATGGATTTGTCATGGTGCCAACAACATACAAGTTATGTCATATTCCTCGACAGCAAGCAGCCATCCACTTATGACAATAAACAAACTGTACTGATCGGAGTTTAGGATCTGTAAGACAGCTGTGGTTGAAGGAGACAGATTTTACGGTAATTACAAAGGAGTAATTCAAGAAATGAACCACATGACTTAACGCATAATAATGAATGAAGTAAGGCTAGGAAAAGGATAATAAATTGGCATACAACAAAGAAATTAAGGGACAGAGGTCCTGTGGACATCAGAAAACAGCTATATGAAAAATTGAAGAGTTAGAAAAATAAAGGTTGTCAAAATACAGTAGGATATTCAGGTTCAAGGTGTTTTTTAAACCAATAATAAAAAGGCCCAGTGGCATATAGAAAAGATAAAGTGGAAAAGATCAAAAAAAAAAAAAAATGAATGAGTCACACATGGATATGGGAATAACCTAAGATTCAAAGAAGAATAGAGACAGATCCCCAAATCCTCGACAGATGTAAGGGACTGACATAAAGAACTGTTAGGAAAATATATATTTCTTGGAAGTAATATTTACAATATATGTACGTATACATTATAATAATATTAAATGAAGTCCTATAAATGTATACTCTAATGTACTTCTGACTACAACAAAAAGAGGGATATACCAACAAATTGGACAACCAGAAAAAATGGGTAAATTCCTAAGAAACATACAACCTACCTAAACTGAATTGAAAAAAATAGAAAATCTGAACAGATCAATAATCTAAACAGAGCAATAATGTATAAGGAGATTGAATTAGTAATCAAAAACCTACCAACAAAGAAATGCCTAGGACTAGATGGCTTCACCGGTGAATTTCTATCACACATTTAAAGAATTCACACCAATCTTTCTAAACTGTTGCAGAAAGTGAAAGAACTGGTAACACTTCCAAACTCATTTTATAAGAACAGCATCCCCAAGATACCAAAACCAGAGAAAAGATACCACAAGAAGGAAAATTACAGGTTAATACCCTCATAAATATACACTTAAAAAAATCACCAAAATAATTCTAGCAAACTAAATTCAACAGCACTTTAAAAAGATCATATACTATGATCAAAGAAAATTTATTCCCGAGTTTCAAAGGACAGTTCAACATACACAAATCAGTAAATGTGATGTTTCACATTAAATGAATGATTAAAACTATATGATCATCTGAAGATAAGGAAAAAAAGTGTTTAATAAAATTCAATGCTCTTTCATGACAGAAACTCACAACAATTTAGGCACAGAAGGGATAAAGAGCATGTCTGACAGGCCCACAGCTAATATCATATTCAACAGTGAAAAAAGTTGAAAGCTTTTCTTGTAAGATCAGGAACAAGGCAAGGATGCCCACTCATCATTTCGATCCAACACAGTACTGAAGTCCTAGCCAGAGAAATTAGGCAGGAAAAATAAATCTATATTGGAAAGAAGGAAAACTGTATCTTTCTGCAGATGAAATAATCCCATACACAGAAAATCCTAAATATTCCATCAAAAAATTAGAATAAAGGAATTCAGTAAAGTTACAGAATATAAAATTAACATACAAAAATAAGGTGTGTTTCTATACAGTAAAAACTATCCAAAAAAGAAAGTAAGAAAACAATCCCATTTACAATAGCATCAAAAGGAATAAAATACTCAGGAATTAACCCAGGAAATAAAAAATTCATAAGCTAAAAACTACAAAACATCGCTGAAAGAAATTAAGGCAAACACATCCTGTATTTGTGGCTTGGAAGAA